CTATTAATCAAATTTTGCGGTGCAACTTTCCATTACGATCAGGCTGCCAGTTATAGAGCCGCCAGCCACGCCAATTTTCCCATCCTTTGAATAAGACAGCTGGAGCAGCACCTGTGGATGGCCCAGATGGACATTCTGGCAAATTGTTTGTTTCCGGACAAGCCCGCAGTGCCGGAGGCCGCTCTGATGATTGACAGTTGCGTCCAGCCGCTTTACGTGTACCACGCCATACACAACGCAACAGGCGCATCTACAAACACTCTATATTATCTAACATTATTATTTCTTCTCTAGATCCTAACTGATGCCATTTCCATACCTTTTCAACTCCGCATGTTTCCCACCTGAAGAGATTACAAACACAGTAGTTCTTCTAAAGCCCCAGAAGCACTTAGCAGGGTTCAGCGATTTCAGACGTTAATGGTCTGTGCTAAACACCGCATTCTCATCAGCTTTCTGATTTAGCAGTTCACCCTTTAGAGATAGTATACCACAGAACTAGTCCCGGCAGCACTAATAAATTTTTCATTGTTATGGATAATTTGAAAGCGCTTTCACTCAGCAACAGCGTTTATCCCTTGAACGCAAACGAAAAGAATGCTTTGCGCTATAATGCTTATGTTCAAGTAAGTTTGATTTATGCACTAAAAAAAATAAATGTGAAAAATTACCTGAACACCACCATCACCACATGTGCGACTGCACTGCCCCCAGACCGACGGGCGCCACTCCGCGGTGCAGTTCACTGAAAACACATTAAACTGACCAAGAAATATTACTGCGCATCTGACAGGTGTCGATGCGAACATCTGTTTTATGAAAGCTTACTGCTAGGTATGCTTAAGCGCACCAATTGGTTCAAAAACCTTCGGAATGCTTTCTAAGAACATAGCCTTTGTCCGTTTTTTGACATTTGTAGGACCAAAAAAAAGACGGAAAAGACAAAAATTTAGCAGTGTTTCTCTTATGTAAAAATAGCATAAAGGAACAAAAGAATTAAAAAAGGTAAATGTGGTTCCAGAATGTGGTACTTATGATAATTTCAGCTCTTCTTTAACTTTCCTCAAATTGCTTTTTACTAAGTTTTCAGTCTGAATCACCAAGCACCTTTCTACCTACCCGCTTCATCGAACTGTCTACACTTGTAAAAGAAGTGAAATGATCTCTGAAGCGCAAAATAGGAAAATTCTTCTTCCAGCCACTTATAGTAATAGCTCAAATAATAGAGAAAAGGACAAGATTCTGTCGTTTTCAGTTACCTCTAACCACCCCAACAAGACTAGTTTCCGTTAGGATTTATTAAGAGAAAAAGAAAATATGGAAAAATATCAATTTAGAAAATCCGTACGCATTTTAGCAAAAAATTAATTGACATATTGACATCTGATCCCAAAACACACTCTGCTCCTATTTCACTCTTGCAGAATTTTAACGCACAGTCGTAACCTTTTAAAGACCTGTAAATTTGAGGCACATCACTTATTTTACCGTATTGAAACCCATCCATGGTGTCATCTTCCCTCAAGTCTGTTATGCAAATTCAGTCAGGTCATGAGGTAGCTTTCTAACAGAATAAAATCTTTGGTGTCAAGATTCACTATACCTCACCAGCAAGGCTACTGATTAATGTCAAAAAATATTTCGGGCCATGCTGGAAGCTCAATGAGGCGTAATAGAGACAACACATATGTGCCGTAAATCAACCACCAGTTAAAGTGGTGCTTTGGGGAATAGGGAGGGGACGAATCTCTCCATCGATTTTCACGAGGTACAGAGGAACGAGT